AAAAAAAAAAAAAAAAAAAAAAAAGAGAGAGAAAAAAAAGAAGAAAGAAAGAGAAGGAGGAACAGAAGCAAAGCACTTAATAAAGTCAGGTCGGAACGGTTAAGAACGGCGACGCACAACGACCGAATCGTTCGATTCCAACGCGGATTCCCGCCGGCGCTACGAGGAGTAATACGGATAATGAAACACCGGGTACATAATAGGAACCGGCACGTACTCCACCATGCAGAAGTTGCTTCTCGGTATAAACTCTCTGGCCAACGGGTTCAGCGGGGCGATCAACGGAAGCTCCGGTACCAGGCTCAGATGGTGCTTCAGCGTTTCTCTGTCGATGCCGTATAGATCAGCGATCTCCAGGTATCTCTGCCAAAGCTTCCTGCAGGAGCCGATGGTGAACAGAGCGACAGGATCGCCCACCACCGCCACCAGACACTTGGCACGCGTCATGGCCGTGTTGAGAAGCCTGGGGTTGGTCAGGAAGCCATAGTCCTTCACGTTCCTCTCCGCCGAGTATCGACAGCAATGCCTGGTGCGCACCGTGCTGATGAACACGGCGGTGAACTGTTTCCCCTGAACGTTCAGTACTCTCTCCACAGACACGTCCATCATCCTGCGCTCCCTCAGCTCCGCGCGGATCCTCTGCACCTGCTCCGCGTAATAGACGAGCACGCCGATCGACTTCTCGCCATAAATGCCCCAACGGTCTGTCGGCCAGTTGTTTCGTAGCTCCTGCACGCGATTCACCAACTCGTACACCTCGCTCATGTTCGCGTAGCCTGTCGAATGGATGTCCTGGTGAAATAAAAAGGAAAACAGAGTTACGTCGAGCGGCGACGAGATTCCCCTCGATTTATGAGTTCCTGGTAGGTGACGATTCTATAAGTGTTTTGTGTTATATCGTGCTGGCCGAGGCCAGTGTTACAACAAGCAACAGTAGGTGTGTCCGGTGTACAGCGGTGAAGATGAAGCAACAGGTATTTGCGGTTGGATCAGGAAATATATACGGTTTGTTATACGGATTCTTGTGTGTTAAGTTCGCTGGGAACGCTGGATATATGGTACGTGATTCGTATGGTGGAATTTGACGTGTAATCGGAAGGTAGACATTCTTCTGACAGAGACGATTACAACGCAGATATTAATCACAGATATCAATCAGCAAGCATTCATCATCGCATTCGTTCCAACTATATTCCAACGACTATACGATCCTCGAGATCCTTCATAATAACGTACCTGTATCTCCACGCCTTGAACGGCGTAAAAGGTCAAGGGCTTTAATATGGGATGCTGTACCAACGTTTTGTTAGCAGGCTTCACGATTCCATCGTAGAACATGTCCGAGATGAACTTGATGATGTCCTCGTGAGCACGGTAATTCTGGTGCAGGTGAATCCTGCACGGATGGGTTTGCGGATACATTCCGTAGATCCTTTCCAGTAAACTTATGCCCAGACCACGTTCGTTAGCCAGATCGCTGTATATTTCTGGGGCAAGTTGCATCTGATCACCGGCGAGGACTAAGCGAGTTTGCGGAGTGGCCAGGGCCAGAGGTATGAGGACCTCGCATTCCAGCGCCTGGGCGGCTTCGTCGATCACTATGTGCGTGAACGACACGTTCAAACTGGTGAGGGAGCTAGACGTGGCCAAAGTGGTCACGATCAGAGCGCAATCCCTCAGGTCTTCCTCGGTCGGGTTGCGAAACGTACCGTTCTCTTTCATTAGACTGTACTCCTGAACCACCGGGTGTACCTGAAATGGCGGAATGAGAGCAGAAGGAACTCTTCGATCGTGCGTTCGTTATTTCTTCACGGGCAGACGTACCGTGTTCCTGGCTCTACCTTTGTAATAAATTCTAACTGGCTTCAGACGCGGATTCTTTTCAGATTTATACCAAATGTCGAAGAATTCCTTGACATAGAGGTCTGCCGCGCTGTTGCTGTGCGTGCACAGCAGTATTTTATAATCCGAGTTCTTTGTCAACAATAGTCGCAATGCCTGAGCAATGGTGAACGTTTTGCCTGTTCCAAATGGTCCTAGTAACAAGATCGGTGGCATGGAAATCTTGGTGGATGCCGTTATTACCGCCAGTGCTCTTTTCTGCTCCGCGTTCAACAAAGAAAATCTGAAATTGATGGCGTTTCTGCTCAACAGATCTATGAAGCTGCTCTCCTTCATATCCATGTGAATTTTGTTTAGAAACACTAGGCCAATATCGGGCAAGCTATCCACGGTTTTGTGCCACTCGCAGAAAGGCAAGCGGTTCAATAAAAATTGCACTTGCACGTGCAGATCCATGTTGGCCACCAAGTTCAATTTGTGCACACAGTCTTTCGACAGTCTAACGTATACTGTCTGCGTGCATTTGTCCTCTATGTGCGCCTCGAATATTATTTTCGAGGATGGCGATAAACACTTGAAGAGCACTTTATTGCAACCTCTCAGGAACAGCCTGCCGCTTTTCGTATCCTCTGAGATACTGCGGCTTAGCGGCAGCTGTGGTAAAAATTCATCATTTTTTACATATCTTTTATATATCTTATATCTTACAATTTTTTTTTTTTTTTTTTTTTTTTTTATGTAAGTCGAAGAAGGTACAAGTATATTAGAAAGAAACGCGAGCTTATATTATGTATGGTTATATTGTATTTGCAAAGACTAGAACTAATTCTAGGAGATCATTGTCTAAAAGTAACAGGGAAACGTATATAGAGTATATAGTATATAGAGAAAAAGAGAGAGAAAAGTATAATTGCTAAAATGAACCGCACCTGAGCAAAGAGCTCACCAGGTGGCGCATATTTGGCAATGGTTGACCCATCACCAGCAGAAGTCAAAACATAGTGAGTGAGAAGGCGCATGTACGAAGTCTCGTTATATCTAGCTATCTGTTCATGTCTGGCTAGCTCTTCCACAGTGATCAACTCGTGAAGACGACCTCTGTAATTCTCTGGCGTTAGGCGATCATCCGTGAGAGATTCTTGAGTCAAGAAAAAGTTACTTCTATCCGGGTACGGATAGATCATGGACAGTTTGTCTGCCTTTGGATCCTTCGCCGCCACAAAAGGCGACTCAAACCAGCAAATTTGTGTCGTTTCGTTATTCCATGTCTTTGGATTCTGTGAGAACTGGTAATTGGTGGCTTCGTGAATCCTGGTGAAGTCTTTGGTTGGCAAACAATCCATGCAGATCCTTTGGAGTATAACTGGATAGTCTCCAAAGTAAAAAATGACATTCTGTCGGTACGTGCCATATCTATTGGCAACAAAGCAAATTTTGACAAAGTAATGCATCTCCTTTATTGCATTGTCGTTCCCATTTGTCTTCTTCAGTTCTGAATTGTACCATTCCTGGCCGTTGGTGACCCCGATACTTGTGGTATTATGCATAACAGATCTTAATGAGAAATTCCTTCGGTTCTGGTCCAGTGTTAATACTATTCTTTGTAACTGTTTACCTAAATGAGCGCAACAAACCCTTTGACAATTACTACACCTGTATCTGATTTCATAAACTATCAATGTAACTACCAATGTTACTCCATAACGGTGTTCGATAATCCTTTGACAATTGCCCATAACATTACCAATATTACTAATCATTTATCATCAAGTTATCTAATTGCAACGAGTTAACCAATGGCGATCAATTTTCACAAAATATGGATGCAAAACATTATTAGAAAGCGAGACTTACCGCACGCCAGGATCTGAAAGTCCCAACTGAAAACTACATTGTTACTGGTCGAACGACAATAGAGACTCTTATTCGTGAAGATCAACACATCGTTCGTCTGCTTGCACGTCACAATTGTCTCCGGGTTCTCCGATTTCACCCAGTCGTGGTGCACCTTCTCGGCAAAGCCGGAGGAAAACGAGTTCTTAACCTCTCCGTTCATTCGGTACGAGTGATCGACCATGTTCGCGGATAGAAATTCCGCATAATTTCGACCAAATTCCGATATCTGTGACTACATAGTACCACGGTGCACGATTATTCGCGTTCTCGATGCAACAGATACACCGATTTTACCACGCATCACCGTGATAACTCTGTTCGTACAACACACAACGCTTTTCACTACTGATGGATCGTTTGCGCGCACTGCGCAAGCGCGAACCGAGCGATGTCGGGACGCAGTCGTTGCCATCTCGCGACTATCGACGTACTCGCACACCGACCGGCGGGAGTGATTTTATCGACGACTGGGGCAAGGAGCTCATTAATCTCAATAAAAGATTATCTATTATATTTATAGCTGTTGTTCGCGCCTCTCGCGAACGCACACATTTCCGATGACGATCGTTGTTGCTGAGATCAATTGTAGAAAAGAAAATTAAAGAAAATGAAATAAAGAATCGAAATTTTATATAAATTTTACATTATTTTCAATTTTAAATTTTATATAAAATTTTAAAATTTTTTAAATTTTATATAAAATTTATATAATTTTAAAAATATATAATTTTTACATTATTACATTATT